AATTGAGAAATGTCAGGGTTTTTGTCTCTAAACAGTGGAAGCCAATTACCAACATTCTTCAAAATATCTTGGGTTTCGCAGAAGAAAGGAATTATGAGAGGATGAGTAAATGATGACAGAATTATAATTATAATATATTTTAGTTTTGAGATTTGCTAATAATTGCACAGTATGCAAAGTTAAATATCTAATATTGGACGATATTTGAAGTCAGTAACCGATATGTGAGTAAAATGTGTGCATCCCTACACAAACTGTGTTGCTGGAAGCATCTGCATTCACATACAGTACTTGTGCTGCATTTTATTTACCTTGGAAGTTGGATGTCGTAGCTGGAGAAAAAAAGATAACTTGAGAAATGTCAGGGTTTTTTCTCTCTCTATACGTGAGAGAGACATAAGGGTGAGTAAACGATGACATAATTATAATTTTTGAGTGAACTATTCCTTCACCATCATATTTAATTAGATGCCTCCCCCCCCCAAAAAAAAACAAAAAAAAAAACAAAGCTATAAGTGATAGACATCTCAAATTTTACACTTGAATGCATATTGCATGCTTGTGATGGTGGTTGTGTGTGTGTGTCTTTGAAGCTCATCAAAATGAGATGTTCCATTTGTCATTTTATGGTGCTCTTTTGTGGCTGTTGGGCCCATTTTTATTTATTTTTTTATAATAACTGTTATAGCACCCTAAGCAACGTTAAGAATGGAGTATGCACTTACACTGTGGTATGAATTATGGTCTGGCGTATTTTGGAAAGTAATGACACATTAAAATATGAGGATGTTGGATTGTTAGCAACAGTTGATAAAAACACATTAAAAGCTTTTTTGCACTGATAGTACTGAAGTATCCACGGATGTGTGCACCACTGAGTTTATTGAGACACAGAAGTGCTAATAATCAATATATTACTTCTGTTGATGTGCTGAGTAGCCAGTTTGGATTCTGAAGTCGGGTTTAAAATTCAAAAGTTAAAAGTTCCTACTGAAAACTTGGAATTTTCAACATCAGATAAATGGAACACACCATTGCATAGATATTTCAGACCTTGAACTGGCATTAGTTTAATTGGTTAAGAAAATAAAACTCTTATCATATTTGTTTTGTCTGGTGGTATAAAGATAGCTCAAGAGCAAACTTTTAATATATACTTCATCTCGGGCGCAAACAGGTGCACACACAATCATGAAAGATGTATGACTAACATTTGAATGTGCTGGCTGTTCATTCACCCTTTACACACACCTAGAGGGAAGCAGTCGACCTATTTTCCATAATGAAGAGAAATACCAGCATTTGCACATTTCTCTAGTAACGCAAGTAGCATTGTACCAGGCTGCCAAACGGAAAAGTGACTGTTTTGAAGAGGATCTTTTTCAAATTTTCTGCCACTCTGCTGGAGGAGTGGGAGTGAGATTTCACAGGAACAATACAGGTGCCTAAGTAATTCGGCTCTGCACATCACAGAAAGATCTGAATGCAAGAGAATTATATACTTTGTGCGGGGGGATATGTTACAGGTCTAAGGTGAAGGTTTACTCAGTGCCATTCATAACATATAGTGAACTGAATGCTACTGTAAGCAGAGCTTGCTCGCTCTCAGCACACCAGCCTCTCTGTTTTTGTTGATTTAGTAAAAAGTGCCGTCCAATTTATATATGGCAAGCCAGAGTACCGGAGGCATAATAATGGTTCTGTCTGGCTGATGACTGGACTGGACTGCAATATCAGTTACAAAGAGAGAACACGAAAAAACGAGAAGAAAAATGTGTGAGGCTCAGTGCATGGAAAAAAAAAATGCTGTCTTAATGAAGTCTTTTCAAAAATATCATTCATTCCTCCAGGAAATAATTTCGGGAGACCTCCGGTTCTCATGCCCTCTTGACTCTTTACCACATCAACAAGGTCTTGTTGACAAGACTATGGGACCTTGGTGGTTCTATGTTCTATTTTCATGTAGTTCTACTTTCTGAATTCTGTAGATTTGTTCTTATTAAAAGGTGCCCGTTTCTTGCTTTAAAATATCTTAGATAAATAAGAATTCCTGTGCTGGTTCAGTTTAAATTATGCTGGTTAAACACCCACAGTGAAGACAATAGCACATCAGCATTCAAAGCACAACATATGCTGGTCTTTTCATCAGGGTTGGATTTGAGATTCATTTATTACAGTTATATTTTCTCTGCAAGATTGTATAACTTATTTTTGTCAAATAATGTGAGTGTGTAATAAGAGCTGTTGGACCTGGCCTTTCAAGCTTGATATGCCTTATGTAAACCTATGCATTTTTTAAAGCTATATATAGATTAGAGACGCTGACAGAGGTTGTGAGACATGCAGATTAAAAAGGTGAGATACAGAGGATCAAGGGAGTAGAGCAAATCCATGTTTTACTGCAACAATAGAAAAAAAAAAATGAAAGTGACTGACATTTCATGTTATTGATGTCTCTAGTTCCAGTTTCTGTTCAGTTGTGTGCTGTTTTCGGTTCCCCTTTGCATGACTTTATCTTCCTTAATACCACTCAAATATATAATGTGTCCTTGTTCTGGAAAAGTACATAATATAATATACATAAATATATTATGTAAAAATCACTGTTACGTCTTGAATGTGCTGGCTGTTCATTCACCCTTTACACACACCTAGAGGGAAGCAGTCGACCTATTTTCCATAATGAAGAGAAATACCAGCATTTGCACATTTCTCTAGTAACGCAAGTAGCATTGTACCAGGATGCCAAACGGAAAAGTGACTGTTTTGAAGAGGATCTTTTTCAAATTTTCTGCCACTCTGCTGGAGGAGTGGGAGTGAGATTTCACAGGAACAATATAGGTGCCTAAGTAATTCGGCTCTGCACATCACAGAGCAGAAAGATCTGAAGGGAATTATATACTTTGTGCGGGGCGGGGGGATATGTTACCTGGCATTAGTTTAATTGATTAAGAAAATAAAACTCTTATCATATTTGTTTTGTCTGGTGGTATAAAGATAGCTCAAGAGCAAACTTTTAATATATACTTCATCAGCAAACAGGTGCACACACAATCATGAAAGATGTATGACTAACATTTGAATGTGCTGGCTGTTCATTCACCCTTTACACACACCTAGAGGGAAGCAGTCGACCTATTTTCCATAATGAAGAGAAATACCAGCATTTGCACATTTCTCTAGTAACGCAAGTAGCATTGTACCAGGCTGCCAAACGGAAAAGTGACTGTTTTGAAGAGGATCTTTTTCAAATTTTCTGCCACTCTGCTGGAGGAGTGGGAGTGAGATTTCACAGGAACAATACAGGTGCCTAAGTAATTCGGCTCTGCACATCACAGAAAGATCTGAATGCAAGAGAATTATATACTTTGTGCGGGGGGATATGTTACAGGTCTAAGGTGAAGGTTTACTCAGTGCCATTCATAACATATAGTGAACTGAATGCTACTGTAAGCAGAGCTTGCTCGCTCTCAGCACACCAGCCTCTCTGTTTTTGTTGATTTAGTAAAAAGTGCCGTCCAATTTATATATGGCAAGCCAGAGTACCGGAGGCATAATAATGGTTCTGTCTGGCTGATGACTGGACTGGACTGCAATATCAGTTACAAAGAGAGAACACGAAAAAACGAGAAGAAAAATGTGTGAGGCTCAGTGCATGGAAAAAAATATGACGCAAAACTGCACTACAAGAAAGATTTATTTCCCCCAAGGAACAAGTTAAACAAACAAGACAAAGGAAAAGAAGGGAAGTTAAAGTGGCGCTTAAAATCATAAAATAAAATAGAATAAAAATCCCATTATCTAACTAAATCCCAAAACCCCTAAACTATTAAAGAAAAAAGAAAGAAAACCTTCAACGCAAAAGCGTCATAAACTACACTGAATATGCAAAATCAAAACATACAAGAAAAGCGCACACAAATAAACTAGTGTGTCAATACATCCAATATCCCTAAGTGCAGGTATGTAGGTCACGTGACTTACTAAACTCTTCCACTCCTTCCTTGTCTTCCAAACCAGCGGCGAGCTGACAAAGACATCCGATCACACAGCGGCATAGCATCGCCAGCCGTTAACCCAAGAGCGCAACACAAACATATTCCACGAGTGCACACAACAGCCACAATACAAAACGTCACCCCCGTCTTCCCGCTGACGTTCTCCTTTTGAACCTCTCGGACAAGAACGCCATTGGCAAAGGAAACGTGTTGTCAATTAACTAATGATGAATGACAGCACAGATAGCCAATAGAATCCAAGGAAGGCGGTACCTAAGCGTATGAGAGTGAGAACAGAGAAGAGACTAAAAGAAATAACATATACACACACAACACAAAAGGTCGCAGACCGTAACAATCACCTTAAGACAATGTAAAAGCAGTGAGACACACTAAAATTGCCAAGTCAAATGGACATCCGATTTGTATTTGATATTTTATCTTGATTTGGTGATATAAACGGGCATTTCAGAATATTTGATACTATTTTGATTAAATGAAATAATTTTAACTTTTAGTGTGCTATTTTTACATTAAAAGTCTGTTTTAATAAAGTTTTATCATATTGATAGCCTATCTCTATTGTATGGAGGATCATAAATAGGAAAATCTATGTTCCTTTCGTTATCTATGTAAATATAAATATGTTTGTATTTAGTTTAACATTCCTATTTATTGCAGCATGCTATTTAAATGAGTAAATAGCAAGCTGTCATATAGCAGATGTTTTTATCTTTAAAGAGTTACTTATTATAGTCGCAGATCCTCTGGAGCAGCTTGAGGTTAGTTTCACACAAACGTCTAAATGATTATTAATAATTATTTACTTTAATTGAATACACAAATAGGCTATATGTATCGTATGCATTACAGGGGGGAAAGTTTGTAATGCGTTGTGATTGTTAAAATACTACCCTGATTATGTGTTGAGTAGGCTATTGCGTGCACACTGCACGCCTAGTTGAAACGCAAACGCGCGTGCTTCTTGATTTGCGTGTTGTAGACACGCATAACAGCGACACTGGACACGCGTTTCTTGAAAAGGGCAATAGACACATTGGAGGTGGAAGTGGTGTGAAAGAGGAGGGACTTGAGACTTCAGTTTGCGTTTCACTGTGCAAACTGAAGGGCGCTCACGCTCGGCTCTCCTGGACTGACCGCTGAGCCACGGAACTAGTTTGCGCGGACATTGCGTTCACACGTCAAACTCCCACAACTGTGCTCACCGCCGACAGCGGACGTTCAGTAAACCCGGTGAAGCCTAGAAGTTGTCCGTTTCTTCCTAAAGCGCCACTCTTTCATGCGAGGATGTGAATTTCCACGGGAGGATTCAGAGTCGTGCCATGGTTTTGACCTGCGCGCTCCTCACAGAAATGGTGAGTGATTCATTCATCATCAACGCGCTTTATAATTGCCCTGAAATGCTGAAAACTATTCATTAGTCTGTGTGATTTCTGTGGTAGAGATGAATAGACCGAAATGTTTGGACTGCTATGAATCACACAGTGCTTAAAAGAGAAAAGTGTCCTTATATGGGAGCTATATATTAAATTATGCGCTCATTTGTTAGACAGCCTTTTAGTCTTTTATGAAACGAATGCTTGGGGTGTATAAGAAATATGCATAATAACTGTCAAGGAATCATACCACGTTAGGAGACGTTACTTTCTCACATTTGACGGTTTCTGTAGCCTACTTATGATATGAAACACTAGTATTTAAGAACTACTTCATTAACATTCTAATCAGAAACAACTTTCACAGTTCTTAATCAAAACACACACGCAAAACGCATATTTATGTTCATTTTTAACAAGAAATTGTGTTTTTCAACAAGTGGCTTCGAAATAACACAGTCTTTGTTAGTGCTTCCCAGATCATGTATTATTCATAAATACAAATGTCATGTAACAGACATAACTTCATATTTGACATAACGTTATGTAATCTACAGACAGAGTGGACCTGTGTACCTTGCCCAAAGGTGCAAGAAGCACCTTGACCGACCCAGATAGTGTGATTCTCAGGTGCATAAAATGTGGATTAATCAAAGCTTCCATTAAATATTGATTCTTTATGATATTTAAATATTAAGAGGCTGTAATGATACATCAGGCACTTGAGCCTCATAGTATCATTCTGTTGTTATTGTTTTTAGTTGAGGTTGCATAGCAATATCTTTTATTTTTTCACTTCTCTGTTCAGCATTTTAATGTGGATTTAGTGGCTTACAATCAACATTTAAATAATCAGCTGTGCTGACTGGATGCTGACAGTTCTGTAAATTTAATGGCAAGGTAATTTCATGATTGTCACATTTGGAAAACGCTCTTTCACCATCACCATGCCGTAATCCTTCTCCATGATTTGTAATTATGAAGTTCTCCAGTGACGCAGAAAGAGAGAGAAGAGAGTAATGAACACTTTAGAGTTGTCTGTGTTTTTGATATATGAACGATTGTAAACCTCACAGAGTGGTGCTACTGTAGAAAGTGTCGAGCCCTTCTGAATGAACTCTAATCTGTTATGAATGTAACTTAATTTGTGAGCAAGTCACAGAGCATGTTTTTGTTCATAAAAGCCGGAAGTAGTATGTGAACCTGTAGAATAATCAGCTCTGTAAAGAGGGTAATTTCAGTTAGATGTTCCAATCAATGAGATGACAATCAGGTGCGAGTTTCAGCGCCGTTCCCCATAAAACAAACACAGACTTTGGCTGTTGATATCTGAGAATATACTCCCAACTACATGTTTACAAAGTCGGTCATGCCATGATTAAATGAGACTTCCAGAAAAAGATTTGTTGATATTAATACGACTCGGATGACTTACAAGACCATTCTTAAGAATAAAGACTTTGACCTCCATAAACTCACGGTCATCCAGATAGCATTCAAATGAGGAAATCCAGCAGCATTGTTTCTCTTCCTATTAGTGTTCAGCTAACACGCAATACTAAATGCATAAGACTTCAGGAGCTCTCAAAGAACTGAGGGTTTATTAAAAGTTGTGGCTATTTTAATCTATTATGCATTTTTTGTCTTATTTCTTGCAATTGCTAAGTATCAAAGCCTGTTTTCGCCACTGAACAAAAAATAAAAAAGGTAGTTGCGACTTTTTATCTCACAATTCTTTTTTCCTCACTATTAATAATAATAATAATAATATATTTATTAATTTTGACATATAAACTCGCAATTGCATGTTATAATGTCAGAATTGCAAGATATAAACTTTGAGTTTGAGAAAAAAAATTTAAACTCGCAATTTGCGAGAAAAAGTCTGAATTGTGAGATAAAAAGTCGCAATTACCTTTTTTTTATTTTTTCATTCAGTGGTGGAAATGGGCTTCCATAGATAAGCAATCCGAACTGCATAAGGCCCAGATAAAGATTCGCAAATGAATCGCACTTTTGATGCAGTTGGTCAAACGGATTTGCGAAAGGTCTGAAATTGTTTGCGATTAATTTTCATTCATTTGGACAGTTCACTCATTTGTACAGGATATTTCATAAGACAGAAAACAAAAAGAGCCTGGATGAGGTGGATGTTTACCTACAATCCAATAGGAAACAAAACTTGCAAATGTCTTATAGCGTTTGTCAACGACGAAGCAGCACTTTATTGGCTTTTTATTGCACCTCCGCGCTGCAGGTAAACAAAAGAGTAGCCTATTAAAAAAAAGCATCAAACCCCCTGGATGGGAGTATCATGAACTGGGGGCTTTTTCAGCACCAGGAAGGATACATGCAGCTTGTCTGTGTAATATGTTCAGTTAAAACTCTCAGTTTATGTTAAATGATCATCTTGTGGGATGCTTCGGGTAGTGTGTCCTAGAACTAGTCCTCTGTGCTGATATTCCGACCGTTAGCAGTGGGAGGAGTTCATCACTTATCCAGAGAGCTCCTAGGTTAATTTGCGTTTATGCAATAGCGAGTGCAGCGGTCAATATTGGCGTCCCAAGAATGGAACGAATGTGTTTTGATAGATGGCTTAGTATGGAGCTCTGGCCAGAAGATCGATAAGCTCTCTTTTACATTGCATTAGGGCCCCACGTAGAGCCTTAAAATAAAGGTGAAGCTCGGCTGATGTGAACATGCGGCTCGCTTTACATTTCCCGAAGCTTCCAAATCAATTTTCTCTTTTGTTTAATCTCTTTCTGGGCACAAGGTGTAAATCCATTAAATAAAGTTTTCCATTTTCAATGTTGAACATGCTTCGATTTTGAATAAATAAACTGTAGGATTAATGAGTTTGGGTCAACGAAGTGATCGAGGTGATTTCATTCTCTGTGCCTCGTGTTGAACAGCTTGTAGTGGAAAGATCATTGGTTGGTCTAGGCTAGAGAAAGAACTTGAAGATCCAGTTCACTGCTGTCAATCACAGTGTGATAGAGCAGTGTTAATGGTCTCAGTGTTTAAATTACTGCAGTATTAGGAAGACTTGGGAGGTTTTAATGAGGTGGCGGCACAATTTTCTCAGTGTAAACATAGGGTTGTGTTTTGTCTCACTTCACTTTCTGTTTGTCCGAATATTTTAAAATTATTCTAATCCACTCTAAAAAGTGGTAAAATTGTTACATTAAAAAGCTTTTTTTTTTTTTTTTTTTACTTTATTCAATTGGATAGTTCACCCAAAAATGAAAATTCTGTCATCATTTACTCACCCTCAAGTTGTTCCAAACCTGTATGAGTTTTTTGTCTCCTGTTGAACACAAAAGAAGATATTTTCGAGAAAATATTATGAAAGTCAATGGCTACCATGCCTCAAAATATCTTCTTTTGTGTTCATCGGGAGAAAAAAATAATAATACAGGTTTGGAACAACTTGAGGGTGAGTGTGACGAGAGGGGCGGGGCCGAGAGCCGTGGGAACGGAGCGAGGCCGGTGGAGTAATTGCTAATGCGCGACACCTGCGCCACTCACCGGTCTCGAGTCTCATGGAGGAGTTCCGGAAGGATAAAAAGGAGGAGGGACGACAGTGAAAGACGAGAGAGGACCAGGCCTGGAGTTTATTTTGTGTTTTGGTTTCGTTTGTGCGCGACAGTCGTCCGCGAGGGGCTGTCGCGCTATTTTGTGTTTATTTTATTATTAAAGTTTCTTTGAATGTTCGCCGGTTCCCGCCTCCTTCTTCCCGATCTACAAACTACGTTACAGTGAGTAAATTATCTAATCTTTTAGGGGAAACTACCTCTTTAACCCATAAAAAATAGTTTTGTTGTTGGTAAAAATTAATATATTTCTGTTGACTCGGTGATGCTAAATATTTTTATTTGAGTAAAACCAGTTACTTTATTATTATTATTTACATTTTTTCAGAATTTAGATATAAATAAAATGATGTATCACTTTATTACTAATTATTCTAATTTATACATTTTTAAATAATAAATTAGAGTAATAATTTATTTTACAACAAATCATGCAAGGTCTAGGATTTCTCAGTGCTTTTCTCAGGACACTCAGAAAAACGGTAAAATAATGTTTTAAAAAGTAGTCATAAATTTTGCAACCCATATTGCGAAAAAAACAAGCTTGCTGCTGTCAGCTCTCGCCTGCCGGTGGACAGAAAACAAACCCAGGAATGAAGCACTTAAGCTTCCGCATGCTCTCCTGGCTTGCGTAAATGTGGCCGACCCTGACGCTGATTTATCTCTGTCAGTCATCTCTGGACTCAATTGAAGAAATCTACAGTTTATAAGTGCGTTCAGGAATGTTAAAACATTCCGTATGCTTTAGATCAGATCAATTTGTCTTGCCTTAACCAATGCAAATGTAAATCTTACTTTAATTTGCATGGTTAGGAGACAGAAGTATGCGAGATGACTTATGGAGGCAGCAGTCAATGAGTGTTTGACACGAGTGGGGTATTGATACAGTAAGGATAATATTTGTTCTGCATAATACCAGTAGACCTTAATAATTACACTTGTTGTTTTTATTACAAGTACTTTTACTGCAGCCAGGGCTCCATAAAGCTGCCTTTCTCTTGACATCGTGACCTCTTTGTGCAAACAGTCGAAAGTTGATTTTATTTTCCGTGCATCGTGCATCAGCATTTTAATTCATGCAGAGCAACGCGCCGACATGATCTCAGCTGATTCCAAGAAAAGTCATTATTTCAGGGTGATCTGTAAATCCATGCCACGGGGTGTTGTAGTTAGATTTAGGGAGCTGCTTGCCAACTGGCTGATAAATCCGGCACCTCCAGCTGCTTGTACCTGATCCCTGCGTGTTGTTTTACAATGCCATGCAGCTCCGTTGCACATCGCTTTGCCTCTGCAACCACTCTTAACTTAGATGAAGCAGGCTGGCTTTAACCCTAACAAAGACAGCGCTCCGCAATCCATCCAAGTCCTCTCGCCGCATCTGCTCTC